AGGTTCCGGTATTTGTCTTTTCTCCTTTTATAACCTTTTGGGTTTCGAAGTATTTTTGGCGCAAATTCTTGAGATCTGCAATTGATTCGATTCTTTGCATTTTATTGGTTGACGTTAACAATGGATTATGCTTTTTTAAGGTACCACAATACCTCCCCCAGTTAATCAAAATGAGCATTAATATGAATTGGAGTTCGTTGAATTCCTTCCTGATTTTGTAAATTGTGTTGATTCGGTCGTATCCAAGTTGTTTGCGTTTCTGTTTGTTCTGTTGTCTCGGTTTTGTTAATCTGTGTCGTCGGATTGGTTTAAAAATACTGACGGTAAATCAAACAATTTGGGTGTTTAGATATTACCAGGTGTGGACCTGTGTAGTTGGGCGTTAATGAAACATGTCGCGCCTCGAAAACATATTCTGTTCTGCTGGCAAAGGTTTTTATACGCACACACATCATCACTGCCTACAATGTCGTCTCGTTGACACACACACACACACATTGTCAAAAATAATTCTATGGTGCATTTGAGATCAGTTATTGTATTTCTGCCATAAGCATCATATATATCTACACACATACTGTGGGCGCTGTTAATCATGTCTATGGAATCTCTCCACTATTCCGTTGCTGCATGGGTGGGCAATATGCCTAAAATGTTACAAATTCGTTGAATCGTATTCTATAACTTTGAAAGGGCATCCAAATATTCCAGTTGTTGAAATTTAGCCACTGTTTCTGCCGTTATTGATGTTAGTGGTATCGCAAATCGCGTAAGCGGTCAATGATCGTTAGAATGTACTCGTGTCCATTAATTTTTCATCCGACTAAGTCTGCGTGTATGTTATTTCTGGCGTTAGACGATTTGACAAACGAAGTTTCGTAACATACCGGGCCGGAAAAAAAAGAAAAAGATCGATGGTTTTAATATTTGAAATACGATTCATTAAAATATTTTTTCAATTTGTCCGGTGATCCGTTCCTGGACAATGCGTCCGCTACTGACGTAGGATATCGAACTCATCTTAAATTTAAGCACCCATAATGCATATGTGTTCGTCGGTGAAGACTACGTTTCCTTCTAGAATGTGTCTAAAATTATAAATACCGAACGAAACATATATATTTCCTCTGGGTAAATTTAAAAAATGAAGTGGTTTCTCCGATTTGTTAAATCTGGTGTATACTGCTCAATTGTGTCCGTGAGTATCTGTCGTGAATTTGGTTTTCATGGATTAATAGCAATTTTGCCTGCGACGATCGTTAAGATTTAATTCATCTTTCGATAGATTTGCGCTTTTTCTTTCGTTGCGATAGCATGTCTGTTAATAGCAATATTATAGTTACAGTTCGGTATGAGTTGTCGACGAAAATCTCCGATTCCATTGTGGAAGGAATTACAATCACAATCCTTGTTGGTCTAACGTAAAATGTGGTACCGCAAATTATCTGAATATGAAACGCGTTTAAAACTGCATTGTTGCTTGTTATTTCGAATACATTTGCTTTAGTATTACACCTCGTCTATCCGTAAACCAAGACATTCTTGTAATTCAAATTCAGATGGGTGGTGATCAATATCGTCTTCCTCGATTGGTATCTGACCTTTTTGAGGTTTTTATAGTGTTCTAATGATAGCAAAATAATAACTGTTGTGGATTCTATTCAACAGTAATATGGACGCCAACTTGAATCTGCTTTTGTAACCATGTGTAGAGGGCTAGTAGTAGGAGGGCCTGAGCATATTGTCGGCTCATCTCTTTTGCGATTTTCAATTTGGAAGTTGGTTGACATAAACTGAAATTGTTTATGCTGTGTTTAGCAATGTCTATTCATTTCGTGAACTAGATTGCTGCGTCGTATTAACCGTAGCCGTTAGGTTTCAAGTTCTAACGTTTTTGTACGTCGAACCTTTTATATTTGTAGGTGTCGACTTTTGGGATTGAAATAATGCAAGCCTCCACTGTCGAAAAAACCATGAATGTCATTAATCTCTCATAGGCTATCAATAAATCTGCCGTTAATTTTAAATTCAAAATCTTCCTATATGCGACCATGGAAATATTTCAGATTTACTGATGAATGATTGTCTGCGCCTAAACTAATCACGATGAAAGCATCAGTATCATTATGTTTAATTTATTGAATTGATATGTTGATTGGATTTATCGATTTTATTTATTCGTTTTCTACTGATTATCAACCCCTTGCAGGTTCTTTAAAGCAAGAAATATTTTTAGTTTGTATTATTTCTTTTTTATATATAATAATGTTTTAGTGATAAATGTTTATACTAATTAATCCATAGTTGGGTGGAGAATAGATATATCATACATGTCAAAAGGGCATTTGCGCGTAAGCGGATATCGTGAACCCAGTAGGAACTGGGAATCATCTCTTCGATCATCAATTCAGTTATTATCCATTGCACCACCGGCATTTCTAAGCTTAGAGCAACTGGTTTAACGAAGAGGTCACCCAAATATATAATAAACGCAAACAAAGTGAACATTTTATAGAGAAACATTGACTTTATATGATCGACATTGCATAAGTTCAGGGATCGTACGGAAACTTGTGTTTCAACCTGTTGTTTCCATAAGCAATACTGATTGGAGGCAAGCAACTGGAAAATTCAATATCTGAAAGGTCAATAAATTTTAAGAATCTAACTTATTGCAATAAAATTAATCTGGACAAATTGTTACGATTTAGAAATCTGTAGAATATTTTTTTCTTCTATGTATTATATCCCTTCAAGACGTGGGTGATCATGAGTCAACACAATTTTATGCCTTTTGTAGTTCTTAATATCGTATGGATTTTTTATATCTCCTAGACATTGTTCTGGCAACCATTTGTAAACATTAATTATTTAACTTATTCCCTGTTATCTTCTATCCCAATTGCGTTCAGTACTCCATATGTGTGAAATATTCTCTAAGCTATCTTTCTTCCTTATGTACCTTAGAAATTAAAAATCTCTTTTTTTCTGGTTGTAAATATAAGTGAACTTTTGTTTCCATTTTCTCCGTTGCTCACATGTCTAGTCCATGTTATTCTCCGCAATTTTATGTAGAACCATATTTGTATTACGTCGAGTCATTTCTCCTTCTGTGATGAAATTACCCAGCATTTTCTGTCATATTAGAATACTTATATTATATCACAGTTCAGTAGTCCTTTCTTGGTTTCTAACGAGATTTTCGTGTTTCTTAATACGATATTTAATTTTTGCAAGGCAACATTTGCTAACACACTGTGCCTTCGGATTTTGATGTCGCATTTTCCGCCCTCTCTTAAAATACAAGATATTTGACTTAAAAAGATATTTGAATGTTTTTACTTGTATTTAGAGTCGCATATAGATCTGTTTCTTTTGGTGACGGTCATACATTATCTCTTCCTACATGTCTTTCTCCTTTTTTCCCCGCTACATATTCTATAGTTTCCTTTCTGTGACTACTATCAACACTGCATTATCTGCATATCTAATATTAGTAAGATTATGGCAGCGAATAGTGAATATCGATAGAACATCTAATTCCGTCAGAATTACTTCAATGTGAAGGGTGAATAAGTTCGTTGAAAAGACACACCCTTGCCTTACGATCCTTCTTATTTTTATGCATTCACTGAATTAATTATTTATCCGTATACAGGCGGTTTGCTACCAGTTCTAAAGTACAATTAAAAGCCGTAGTTTTATGAATAATATTTTCAGATTTAGTTATACTATCTTACTTTTTATAGTTCTGTGATATATGTAAAAAAAGAAACATAATGAAAAAGATTATGTAGCGTCGGTTTCTCCGTGTGCGCATTGCCTATCTTGTAAAAAAACTTAATTTATTACAGCTCGGATATTGACGCATATCTGATTATTTTAAAATAACCTTTTGAATTATTTTCATAAAATGGCGGTTTATAATATTCATTTATTTTCTCTATACACTCCCACTTCCGGAATTTCCTGAATCGTTCTACCTTCCTTCATCTTTGTATGCGTCATATAAACATGGATTATTGCTACACAATCCATCCGGTATTAATATAAATGCATATAAATACAAATTATATATGCAAATATGCCAAAAAATCAATATTCTCCAATCTAACGAGTCACCATTCCACTAATTATTTTATTTTTTAAGCGTTTCCCCCCAAACAAGGCGGGAATCACTAGCACGCAAAGGGTTACAGAGAGGTTGAGCGAGAGCAAAGAGGAGTGATAGAGGAAAGGATGAAGAGAAGCATAGGGGAGAGATCAAGGCATCTGGAGACGTCGATCGACATTACATTTGAATAGTGGGAGATTATAGCTATCATAAAAACAAGAAATGGGGAGGAAGTTCTACAGGTGAGAGGTGCGAGACATGAAGATATTGGAAATAAGAGTTGGCTACATTTAACAGTTTCGATATGTATCCCAGATTCTCAATGGGAAATTTTTAAGTCTCAAGTTACTTTTCTTTTCTTAAATAAATGAGTTGATTTATTGTTTTTATTATTTGATACATCCACGTGGAGGCGAAATACCTGATTATCAAATGTGAACAGATACCGATTCCATTATTTAACAGACAGACCAACTCGAAGGTCGTGTCGTGGTTATCATCTCGAAACGAGCCATTTAGGAATCTAGTTCAAATTACAACCGATTTCGTTACATTAACTTTTACGCAAAAAACGTCTGGAAATGTATGAAACCATTTTTTTTTCTTTGTGCAGGTTTAAAAATGTCAAGATATACAGGACACTTTAGTCGTAGTATTAAACATTGTCTAGGAGAATAAATCTCTGAATTATAAACAGTATGAAGGAAGCTATGGTGTGGAGCATGATAGCATGCACTGATAATATAGGCGTCACAATGATCGTATAATGTCTATTTCGGAGATGTATTTTCCCATAATATGTATTTATCTTGTTCTTATTTGTAGGCAGTGTGTTCGTTCATGTGTAAAAAAATATTATTATTTTCACGTCTCTTTGTCTTTTTAGGTTTCTTGAGCACGGGGGATAGCACTGCATCTGGTAACTACGCCACACTAGATCAGATCGCGGCGTTGCACTGGCTGAAAGAAAACATTGAGAGCTTTAACGGTGATAAGCAAAGAGTGACGTTGTTCGGCCATGGTCACGGAGCGGCGTTGGTGAACCTTCTTTTGGTGTCACCGGTTACGAGAGGTCAGTGCCAATCAAAGTACATTCATTATACTTTTTTTTTTATTTTGTTTGTTGTTTGCCGGGTGCAGATTGTTTTTAAACAAACTTGGTTTTAATTTCTGGGGTGTTCTCTAAATTCTTTCTCATCTTTTCTTTCTTTCCTAGTAAAATTGATTTATTTTATTTAGATTTTCTTAAAAAAATTAGTATTTCATTTTTCAATGTCTTTCTGTAGTATAATTTAAAATCTTCATTTCTCTATAATCAGTTAATATTTCCTTTTAATATCTCTTCATTTTTCACAAGAAACAATGTTTTTACTATCCTAAAATTATAATAATCTAATATGTCTAATTGATGTCTCACTAATCCCTCTATCTAATCTGTCTTCCTCCTGATCGAATCTCTCTCTCTCTAACAAATCGATCCTGTCTACTTATCCGCCTACTTAATCTGCCTATCTATCTACCTAATCGATCTCTAATCTGCCTATCTCTCTGTCTATCTCTAATCTTTCTATCACTAATCTGTCTATCTCTAATCTCTCTCGCTAACTCTAATCTATCTCTCTCGCTATCGCTAATCTCTCTCGCTAATCTGTCTCTCTATCGCTAATCTGTCTCTATCTATCCTACTCTCTCTATATAATATGTCTATCTGTCTATAATCTGTCTTTCTGTCTATATCTGTCTATAATCTGTCTTTCTGTCTATATCTATCTATAATCTATCTTTCTGTCTATTTCTATCTATAATCTGTCTTTCTGTCTATATCTGTCTATAATCTGTCTTTCTGTCTATATCTATCTATAATCTATCTTTCTGTCTATTTCTATCTATAATCTATCTTTCTGTCTATTTCTATCTATAATCTGTCTTTCTGTCTATTTCTATCTATAATCTGTCTTTCTGTCTATTTCTATCTATAATCTGTCTTTCTGTCTATATCTATCTATAATCTATCTATAATCTGTCTTTCTGTCTATCTATGTATAAATCTATCTAAACTATCCATCCAACTAATCTATCTATCTAAACTCCTTTATCCTTTTATAGGTTAAATATATATTTATTTGGGGAATGTATTTTATTGAAAAATTTTAACTATGAATTACAATATTTTTAAAAATCTTTTACAAAAGAATTTGAATGAAAAATGAAGTTGTTGTTATTTATGTATTTTTTGTATAAAACAATTAAAAGAAAGGAATTGTTGTATTTTTGAAACTATAATGTACATCTATATTTTTTCGTTTTTCACACATTTCGTAGTATCTCTGCATGCACGCTGGTGTATTCTGTCTCACTCTGTACTAGTTCTATGTTCTGCTACATCTACTCTCACCACTATCTATCTCTCTCTTTCTCTCTCTCTGTCTGTCAGTCTGTCTCTCTCTGCCCGTCTTTTATTTATTTATTTATTTACTTACTTACTTACTAATTATTATCATTATTATTATTATTTTATACTTTCCCGCTCTGCCCCACTTTTTTTACTACTGCTTATTCTTCTCTCCGAATCTATATATTTCCAAAAAATAAAAGCAAAACACCACTTTACTGTTTATCTTAAAATAAATAAATAAGTAAATAATTTTTTTTAAGGAAAAATTATTTGACATATTTATTTATACTTACATTATTATTTTTTAGTACTTACTTCACAACTTTATTCTTAATCAGTTCTTTCCAAGCATTCGTCCGGCTTTGGTCAGTGTCTCTCTCCACTATCTTCTCACCATCTCTCCATTTAAAACTAAAAAAAAAAAAATATATATATATATCTGTATAGAAAAAAAATCACTTCATCTCGTTTTATTTTTTTTTATATATATATATTCTGATATCTTTCTTGTTTTCTCGTCTTGTATTCTTCTCCTTACTAACTGCTATATAGTTTCACGGACGCATCTTCAATAGTTCTCATTAGCTCTGCTTCTATGTTTTTTTTTCTTTTCAATACAAACATATATCTTCCGAAACTTCTTTCTTTCGATCTAAAATGCAGCAACTTTATTATTATTATTTATTTAATTATTTTTGTTATTCTTAATATTATTACTCTTATAATTCTTTTTTTATTTCTATTTTTTTTTTTAATTACTATTATTATTATTATTACCAGCCATTAATCTTCTTCCATATCATAACTACCGACGCTACTCCTTCGGTCTTTTTACTCTATCTATGATCTCATTTCTACTTTCTAACGTGCTTCTAACACAGCGTGTGATACTCTAGCTAACAGAGGAAAGAGAGAGAAAAACAAAATTTCGTTTATATTACGAAAAAGGCTGTAGTTATAAATCAACCTATATGCATTTCCGCCCCAAATTTAGCGAAATACGAAGCATGAAGATCGATTTTCTTTGTTAAATGGCGGTTATTAATGTTGGACTGAAAGGAAATGCCATCGTTTTGCAACACTGGCGTCATGGAATGAAAAATACGAAATTAGTAAATATATTTAAGATTGGGAAAGAAACATGGGTATACATATATGTATTATCTTTATAATATTTTTAGATATTTCTAGATATTTCTTAGCAATTCCAGAAATGACTAATTAAGAAGCAAGAATAATGTTATTTAAAATATATATATTTTAAATTTTAATGTTTATTTAAATAATTGTATAATGTCTGAAATGTGAATGTTTTTTTTTAAACATCATTAATATAAGTTCAGCTATAAATCAATGATTTTTCTTAAGATTAGCAAATGTTCTGTAATGTTTAGAAAATTTCAAATTTATTCAGTACGAATAAGTTAAATAACTTCTGGGATTACGTCTTCCATATTATTTTGAACTCATCTCTGATGCTGGAATGCATTAATACGTTTAAACGCGTGCATAGCTTTCATCTCCTTATTACTCAGTAAATTAGCTTAGTGGCTCAGTTACAGACAGAGTAGACACACATTTTGAACAGTGATTTTAGCCGTTCAACATATAATGCGACATTAAGAAATATTTTACCTGAATTGAAATACTTTAATCGAAAATAGTTAAAACACGCGCAAGCATAAATATTCCTTCCGGTCGGTTTCACGTTTCGAAATTAATTTGGTTATTCATCAAATTTACAATAACGTTGAAGCGACAACTTATAATTATTGTTACTACGAATACGTTTAAAAATCAAGCTTTCTGTCTTATATGCTTTATTCAACAATGCAACCCGAAATAAAATACAGTAACGGATGAAATTGTCATTATAGTTTTAAGAAGAAAGAAATTAGATACAAATATGAATACTTATTTTTATAATATAAATTAAATATCATTTATCTATATTTATCAGTAACCAAGTCTGAACACTCCATGGTAAATGTAGAGTCACTTAGTATTTTAGCAGAGAGGATCGCTAGTCAGCAATAAGCTAATATACCGAGTGTTATCAATATAAGGGTATATCTTATATGTGAGAAAACTTTGTCACAGATAATTTCTCATCTTTTTTTTCATAGATCCTTTACATTATTATTGATATAAATATTCACAACGTAAAGTTATTTTATCCTTGTAGCAAAATATAAAGATTATAGTTAAATTCTAGTTTACACCTGCATAAAATATATTGAAATGTTGGTGAATAGCAAGTTCGATTTTCTAATTCTGAATGGACTATTCGATTACACAAACATCGTTTTTAATTTAGTTGTATTTTTTCAGCGGGAAGTTATTCGTTTTATTTTATCGAAGTAGATAACTTTTTCAAAGAAAATTTAAAAAAAATTTAAAATAAAAGTTATTAAGGTGAAAAAATAGGTTCCCTCGTTAGATTAATATCGCAGCTAAATATCATCACATCTGAAAGTGACGGTAAATTCGAACGGTCTTAAAGGCTTAGTTAAATTGTACAAACTTGAAACCTTAGTTAATTTAGGCCACGTTAAAAATTTAGTTTACTTGGGTCTCATTAAAGTCTTGGTAATCCTGGTCAATGCTAATTCTTAGTCAAATTCGACCATGTAAATCACAGCAAGGATCACGTCGAAATCTAGAACAGCCTAAACATCTCCGAGCCAAACTGGATCACGTCAATGCCTTTGTCAATCTGGACGACGTTAAATCCTTAGTTAAATGTTATTCATCTAAGAATGATTTATTAAAACTCCCGTTTAATATTCCTTCTTTTCTCGAAAGGTCGCACGTCTTCGATGTCTCCATTTGCTTTGTTTCTCCTGGGCCATACTTAATATGATTACCATATGTAACGTCAAAAATATCCTATAAATTGTGTTAACGAATGCTATCCATGTATGTTTAGTTTACTTCTCCTAATGTTGGCAATGCTCCAGATTAATAAACTAAATTTTCATTAAAGTATTAACATAGTGTCTGTAGGTAAATCCTAGCAAAAACAAGACAAATCCAATTAACTTCTATAAGTAATTCGCCGGATGATGAAATTTCCCTTTCGCAAATGTTATTATCTTGGCACATAGATTAAAATCTAACCTCTGCACTACTCTTCGTGCATTTTAATCTTTGAACAAAACATACATTATTACAGAGAGAATCAATGAAGGATTAATGTATAATTAATGTACATTTAAATGGCAACTGCAAGAAATATTATTCTGAGTTAATATAAACAAAATCTCGCTAACGTTTTTTGCCCAATTCCTAGTTAAGAAATTAGTGTTACTTATATTCCCTGATTAACTATACACATAACCAAACTTTTTTACCAATTTTCTTAATTATAATGATATGGATCTTATATATATATATGTGTGTGTGTGTGATAAAAAACTTACATAAACATGCACGTAGTTATAAATATATCTCTTCCACAGCCGTTTTAAATACAGTGAGCAATATTATACAAAAAAAAGCTATAATTATATTGTAGTGAATATATGTAATATCCAACGTCCGTGGCACGACTCCGAGTTACATAAAATCTTGTAATCGTCAGGTTCTGAGTATACTCGGCAACTAAAGATTGCAAGACTGCATGAAAACACGGAGTCGTGCTAACGACATTGAGATATATATATATATATATATAT